GGCTGCGGATGCGCGCGAGTCGCCCGAGGCTGCGGCAGGCGCCGCGGCGCGCAGGGTCGCGGCGCTGCTGGCCGACTGGCTCCGCAGCCGCGCGGCGGGCGCGCAGGCGGGCGGCGGCGATGGGGCCGGCGCGGCTGCGGCCGCGGAGGAGGTGGCCGAATGCCTGTGCTCCTGCCTGCTGCTCTTGCTGCAGGACACGCCGGACGCCGGCGGCGGCCCCGACGGCGGCGGCGCGCCCGACGCATCCAGCGGCGGCGCGCGGTTCGAGCTGCAGCTGGCGCTGCTGGACCTTCTGCCCGCGCTCTGCGGCGCCGTCGCCGCGGCGGCGGCGCCGCCGTCGCCCGCGGCGGGCGCGCCGCGCGCGGCGGGGCTGCAGGTGCTTATTGAGATCCTGCAGCGCCAGCTGGCGCCGCCCCAGTGGCTTCCGCTGGTCGGGCTGCACCTGTCGCTGGTGCAGACGCTCCGCGCCGCCTGCTGCGGCGGCGGCGGCGGCGGCGCGGCCGGGGCCGGCGGGGACGCGGGGCCCGGCGGCGGGCAGGAGGCGGAGGTGCGGAGGGTGGGCGTGCTGGAGCTGCTGCTGTGTGTCACGCGCGCGCCTGACGGCGCACTGCAGCTGTTCCACCAGGGGGCCTTGCCGGCACTGCTGGACTGCGCGCGGCACCTGCTGGCTCCGCCCGGCGGCGGCCTGCTCGGGACGTCGGCGGTCGGCGGGGATGCGGCGCCCGAGGGCGCCGCCGGGCGCCGCGGCGCGGCTGCGGCGGCGCCGCCCGCGCAGGGCGGCAGCGTGCCGCTGCCCGGCACGCTCGGCGCGTACCTGGCGCCAGCGTCGGGCGCGGGCGGCGGCGGGGCCGCCGGCGGCGTGGCGTGGGCGCCGGTGCACCAGCAGTGGTGTGTACTGCTGAGCCTGGCGGCCACGACCCTAGACAGCCTCAGCCGTTTTGTACCCGTTGCCGAGCCCGCGGTCGCGCTCATGATTGCGGTGGAGCCACGGGTAGTCCTCTCGCTGCAGCTGCTGCTGCAGCAGCTGCCACACCATAGGGGCGGCGACGGCGGCGGCGACGGCAGCGGCGGCGGCGGCAGCGGCGCGCCGCTGCAGGTGCAGCTGGCGTCGCTGCTGGAAGCGGAGCGGTCGCTGGCGCTGCTGTGCCTGCTGGCGCAGCACGCGGGCGCGTGGCAGCTCGCGCGGCCGGGCAGCCTGGCGGGATTCAGGGCGGCGGCGGCCGGGGTTTTGGAGTTTGCGGCGCGGCCGTCCTTGGAGCGGTGCGTGGCAATGGGCCGGCGGGGCCCCTCGTGCCAGGACACGCAGGGGACATCACGGTCCTGAGCCTGAATAGCATCGATACCCTTGGACATGTCATCTTGCCGTGTTGCCAGCTGGGCACATGCACATGCGTGTCCACTGCATGACCCCCGTCCTGTCACTGCGAGTGCTCGCCAACCATTCGCGTCGCAGCCGCCACCCGGCGTCCATCCCGCCCCTCATCCCCTCCGCACCGCGCCCGCGCTCGCAGGCATGTGCGCGTGGCCTGCCCGCCTCTCACGCCGTTCGAGCGGCGCCTGACGCGCGTGACCTCGGACCTAGACGGCGGCGAGGGCTGGCTGCGCGCCTGCGTCGCCGGCGCCGGCGCGGCGCCGCTGCCCTCCCGCGACTCAGCAGCCGCCGCCGCCACCGCGGACGCGCAGGGCGGCAGCGGCGGCGCGCTCGCGCTGATGCCGCCCGGGGCAGGAGACGGCGGCGGCAGCGGCGGCGGCGGCGCAGCAGCAGCAGGCGGGGGGTGCCACGAGTATGCCGCGAGGCTGGCAGAGGCGGTGTACTCGTGTGCGGGCCACGCGCTCCACTTCCTGGCCCTCACCTCCCCCCAGCTGGAAGCTGGAGAGGCGGCCGCGGCGGGGCCCATGTGGCCGAAGCGGCAGGCGCTCGCGGCGCTGCAGGTGGGGATCACGTTGGGGGCGGGAGGTGGGGCCAAAATCAGGGCCCCCGGCGGCTGTCTGTTGCCGCTCACAGGCGCTATTTCTTGGTCAATGCGGGCGTGTCGATTTGCAGACTGCTTGGCTCCTTCGTGGCTGTCTCTCACCCCTGTCGGCCGGCCCCACCCCACAAACCCTGACAATCTGATGCCCCGCTGGAACCGCAGGGCCAGGCCGTCGCGGTGGCGCAGTCGCAGCTGCAGGCCGGCGGCACCTCCCGCGCCCGCCGCCGCCGCCTCGCCGCCGCCGCGCTGCGCCTGGCGCAGGGCGCGGCGGCGCTGCAGCAGCTGATGGGGGGCGGCGCGCCCGCGTGTGCGCGGGGGTCGGGGGCTGAGGAGCGGCTGGGGGAGAGGGCGGCGCAGCTGGAGCGCGCGCTTCGCGAATCGGAGGCTGGGGCCGGCCCTGTCGGCGGCGCAAAACGGTGACCGCCCGCGGTGTCGGTTCTGTCGCGCCTTGTCTCCTGGGTAACTTACAACAAGCAGCAAGCGCTTCCAAACGGCGCATCGGGGGGAAAATGGGAAGAGGCCTCTTCCGATGACGTGCTGGCATGCGCAGCGACGGCAGCGGAGGGCGCAAATTGGGGGGTCCTCGGGGGCGCACGTGTGTGCTGTTAGGGAGGGGGCCCAATACTGTGTAGATGGAGTGATTGAAGAAGAGCAAGAAAAATCGTGCGCACCTGCGACGGTGCGGGGGGTTGTGCCACGATAACCGCGCGGGATTCCCGGCTGGGGACAGAAACTCGTGAGGTGGGGTGGGGTGGCGCCGCTGCAACGCGCGCAGTGCACTGCACGGTGCGGCACGGATGGATGTTTTTTATGGGGGCAGACCCACAACAGGGATGTGGCGCAGCATCGGCAGTGGGACACAGTGCTCTTGGGTTGGCGGCGCGCGCAGCCATACGGATTGGGCTGTCGGTTGGGAACAGTGATATGTGTTTCGGTCAGAGGTGCCGCGGTGGTTCAAGTGAGGGGGGGGGGCCATCAAAAAATGAACCCCAAAGCCCCACCGGAGGGGCCCCACAGCGTGGGAGGGGTGCCTCATGGGACCGACCAGTCACCTGGCCGGGCCAAGCCAGAGGGGGCAACCCGTGTTTGAAGGCACACGGGCAAAGCCTGCAACGTCTTGCCGAAACTGCTTGACTTGAACCTGCAGCGCTGGCAGGGAGTCCCCAATGCCTGCATAAGGGCACCAGTTTGGCATGCACGACGGCTAAAGGTGCAGGGCTGCCATGTCATCCCACACCAAAGCGTGCCATACCTGCGGCGTGGAGCCAAACATCTGAGGAGTAAAAGTTGCAAGTAGCTTGGTGTGATGGCATAGGAGCAGAGGCATTGACCTGCCAAAGCAACATGTGCATAAAAAAAGTGCTCGACGCTTGGACGCCGATTCAATCACCTCAAACAAAATAAGATCATACTTACAACTCAAATTCTCAGGAATCAGTGCGTCCACATGCGAGATTGCGATCACCGGGCAGTCGCTTTGACCAGAGTACAGGGCTATCAAAACAGGCATATAATAGCATGGAGGACTTGCAACGCTGACACTTAAAGTCACAACATCTTGCCAGTGCCAGCTGCCTGGTTGATGGAGGGACCTCGCGGGCGACGAAACGCCGTCAGCCTGTTGTCCTGTGCTTGCTGCTAAGAGGGGCGCCAGCGCCCACACTGCGCGGCGGCAGGGGTGACCAGAATGCGGCAGAGACAGCCAGCAGCAGCGGGAACAAGAGCAGGAAGAGGAGCAGTGCAAGGGCTTGGCGCGGAGCTTGCGCTGTCGGTGCCGCGCGGTGCCGCTGGGCAGAAAGCTTTGCAATACGACAGCAGCGGCATCAGGCAACAGTGGCTGAGTTGAAACGCTGGTTTCAACTCAGCCACTGTTGCCTGATGCCAGCGTTGCAAGAATCAAGTGAGCTGGCAGACGCGAGCCCGCAGCTGGTCTTTTCGCAGCGAAAACACTGCAGCAGGGCAGATGCTCGCTGCTGCAGCAGGGCTCGAGGGGCAGGCTTCAGCCTGCGAAAAGGGATATTGCTAAGCAAAAGCATACAATTTATGAAATGTATTTTGTGGTGCTTTCATAAGTTCACTACAGAGCCAGTAGCTGCCGCGTCGCTGCCCTTGCCCCCACCACCGCTGCCCGGATGCGTTGCGAGCGGGCCCCCCAAGGCTGTCCCCTCGCTGGCCGTGTCGGCCCAGGGAGCTTCGGCTGCAGCAACAGGCGCGGCGGTGGCAGGGTATGCATGGCAGGGGAAGGAGCAGCGGCCGCCGTGTCCAGGACGGCAGGACAGGAAGGCGCGGCCTGTCTGCTGCACTTCAACAGGGCAAAGCGGGCACACGGTCGCGGCAGACGCCCATGGGTTGCCTTGCGGTGTTACGACCAACCTGTCTGGCTGGCAAATACTTTTGTTGTGTGTGACTGGTCACACGGCCTGGGTCCATGTGTGAGAGGTCACACTTGTGGTAACACTGGAGATAGCGTTGAAAGAGTGGGCACCAAGCCAATAACACAACTTCATGATTGATAAATTTATTTGTTCTACCTCACGGCGAGCCAGACCACCAGTCATCCGCTTTGCAATCACAGCCACCTTCGTTGCTGACGGACTTCCTCCGAACAAACAAACGAGACAGCGCTACTGACAGCATCATTTGAAATCGCTCCTTACGTGACAACTCTTCTCCAAGCTCCCGCAGACTGCAGCTAGAAATGGCTCCCGCCATCCCCTGCACCCCCGAGATTCTGCCCCGGCCATCAGCCACATCGACCAAGGCGGCCGTGGCCGGCTACCCCTCGCCCGACGCCGGCGCGAGCGGGCCCCAGGGCAGCGTGCGCCCCTTCACGCCCATCGCCGACTCCCGCGTGTGGACGCCGGCCACCTGGGCCGGCCGCCAGCACGAGTTCGTCAGCACCCTCACGCCCGACGACGTATCCGAGCTCGCGGCCGCGACGGCGGCGTTCACCGCCGCCGCCGAGGCCGCCGGCGGCCTCAGCGCCGCGCTGGTAGGCCTGACGGCGGCAGACTTCCCGCTGCCCCGCCTCGGCCCGAAGCTCGCCGCCCTCGCCGACGCGCAGCTGCGCCCCGGCGGCGCCGGCGGCCGCGGCTTCCAGCTTCTGCGCGGCCTGCCGATGGGCGAGTGGTCCGAGGTCGCGGCGCTCGTCGCCTACCTCGGGGTGGCCACCCACATGGGCTTCAACTTCAGCCCGCAGCGCAAGAATGGCGCGATGGTGCATCACATCAAGGCGCTCAACGGCGCGGGCAAGCTCTACGCGGAGTCCACACAGTCCGCGGCGATGGGCTTCCACACCGACGCCCAGGGCGACGCGCTGGGCCTGCTGTGCCTGCGGCAGGCGGCCGAGGGCGGCGAGAGCAGGTGCGTGGGTGGGCCGGCGCGCGGGTGGGCCGGCCGCTCGGCGGGGCTTTGTGGGGGCGGGGCACGGTGCCAGCGGCCCCCGCCCAGATGCGTTTGCAGTGTCCCGTCCCTTCCCCCTTCCCCCTTCCCCCAGAGCTCTCAGCGGCGTGCGTGGCTTCGTCCCCCTCACAGCATCATCTCTTTGCCCCCTGTCTGACACCCCTTGGCCCCCCCCAGTGCGCCTCCACTTCAACTCCCTGCATTGCCCTCTGCTCCCCCCCTCCCCCCTCTGCAGCCTGGTGAGCGCGGCCGCCGTCCACAACGAGATGCTGGCACGCGGCCGCTCCGACCTGGTCCGCCTGATGGCGGCCCCCGGGATCTGGTGCCGCAACAAGGTGAGGCGCGCCGCCAGCTGGCGGCGCGGGCGGAGGGGGGCCGGCGCGGGGAAGCGAGGGGCCGAGGGGGCCCGAGGGGAGCGGAGGCGTGCCAGCAGGAGCGGCGAGCAGCCACGCTGGATCGGCGGTGATATCGCGCAATAGCCGCGGTGCTGGGCCCGTCTGTCGCGCGGGATGCCCCAGACGCATGCCGCCCGCGGCGCGAGGCGCCACACCCCTTCCGGCTCACGCACCCTTGCTCACCCGCTCCTACCTCCACCCCCACCGCCCACAGGACCGCTACCAGCACACGCGGAAGGGCGAGGAGCCCTGGTGGTCAATGCCCGTGTTTGACTACACGGGCGGCGTGTTTGCGGCGCACTACTGCCCCACAAACCACTACACCGAGGCCTTCGAGCTCTACGGCGGCCCCGGGGGCCTGGGCGAGATGTCGCCGGCGCAGGCCGAGGCGATCGCGCTTTTCGAGGAGATCGCAAACTCTGCGAAGTTCAGGCTGAAATTCACGATGCAGGCAGGCGATATGTTGTTCGTCGACAACACTGCGGTGCTGCACGCGCGCTCGCCCTTCAAGGACGACCCCGCCGCGCCGCGCCACCTGGTGCGGCTGTGGCTGCTCGACGCGACGCTGGGGCGGCCCGGCGCGTGGGCGCGGCCGCTGCCGGCGCACCTTGCGTACCCCCGCGCCTATACTGCTGCAGAGGGGTATGACCCCGACACCGCGGCCCCGGGGCTGATGCGCCCGGACCCGGCCACCTTTTTCGTGCCGCTGCGCGCGGAGTAGAGCGGCGGACGCAGGCGGGGCAGGGCGGGGCAGGGCGCGCACGCAGCATCAGCGCAAGGCTAACCGACCAGTAGTGAATATGCACGTGCTGGGTTCCATAAAACATGTACTTTTGCAGCTTCAGACAGTGTGTTTGTGCCTTGTACATTGTTGCTGGCTGGTGCCTCTTTGCCGCCCTACGTGGCTTCTGTTGAAAGTTGAGTTTTGGTTGTCAGCAGCAGCAGGTTGCTTTTGTACGCGCACCCCAACGAATGAATCACCCTCCCCACTGGGCAGGACCAGTAAAATGGAAGCACAAGCCATTCCCGTTGTCAGGATGCAGCGGGGGCTTACGCACCTCGGTAGCCTGTATGGCAAGCAGAAGGCGGGGCGACTGCAGCTGCTGGGGCAGGGCCGCGGTTTAGCAGGCTGGTGCATGATGCACAGCCCGGCGCACAAACGTTGCACTGCAGTGGCGCTGCCCACCATCTTTGCAACTACCATATATGTGCTCTGAAGGGCCCCTCCCAAACGCGAGTCCGAGCCTCCATCATTTACACCAGACGCACATGCGGTGCTCCCAGGCGCAACCTCAAGCACCCATGAGCGAGTGCTTCCGGTGCACCCCTTGGCATGCGTGCATACTCCCACGCAGTGCCCAACACACTGCCCAGTCGACCCTGTATTACGCAGCACGCTGCGGTACTGGTCAGTCGCCATGGACGTGCGATGACGTCACAACAGCCGCAGCCACGCCGCATTTCTGTCTTGGGAGGTGCTGATGACAGGCCCACGCATCTTCAGATGGCTGCATTCACCACCACCGGCTCCAAATTGCTTGGCACACACTGAAAAGGCATGGCGCACGGTGCTGCTGGAAGCCACGCTCCTGCGCTAATTTTGCCTCTGGGTGGCCACAAACGAGCGGCTCAAGGGAAGCCAACCAGCAAGCAACAGCAAGGGCATGCACATCGAGAGAGCCTCAGCTAATCTGTGTGCGAGCAAAGACCCGTGGGGCGAGCAGCAGGCAGCCCCAACTGCTGCAGTAAAATATCTGGGGAAGGGGTGAGGGGGCCGCAGTGTGCAAGAGTGCCCGCCACAAAGCCTGGCAGTTCTCGAGGTTCATCATGAAGAGCCGCAAAGAAATTCAATACATTTTGAATGCTAAGCAGTTGGCGCC